AAGGGAGTGCAATTTTATCCCCACAGACCAGACACAGTCAGTCAATGAGTGCTGCTATGGAGTACATTAAGTCAAAAGTTGCTGCCCTAGGCAAAAGTCTAGCCAGACTTTAAACTGAAGTACAGCCAGGAAGTGCTGCAATCCCACACCCGCCCAAAAACAAACAAAAAGCACAACAGAAGGACTAAAGGAGTGCATACATAACATCTGGTCAAAGGTGTGTGAGGAACAAGAAGCTGCTGGAGACCTTGCAGAAGCAGCAGCCACTAGAAGGCACAGCTTCAGACAGGCTAGCGTTTCCTGCTCCAGAGAAAAGAAAAGGGGGCACAAGAAGTATTTTGTCTTGCCTAGTCAAAAGGAGTGGAAGATAAAGAAACAGAAAGCAGCAGTCCTCTGACTTGCAGAGGACACATCCCTGACCTAGTCAAAGTAAGCCTGATGGCAAAACTGAATTGCTTTTATCTACCAAGTACCCAAATGGAAAAGCGGTTAATAACACTGACATATAACTTATTTATACGTGTAAGACGTTCTGTCTTAAAAACTGTGGCTCTAATTAATGCTCTGCTTGGGAGATGTTGCTTATTTGATACCTCTCCCATCGCTAGTCTTACCAGAACGATTATCATGACAAATGGAACTGGAGGCCAGCCAGCTGAGGTGACTGCAAAGACCGGGCAAGGAGCAGCTTAAAGAAACCAACAGAAAACCAGAGGTGCAATTAGCTCATTAACTCAATGTAAGATCTACAGTGCACTAAATTTCTAAGATTCTTCTTGGCATCTGACATTTCATCTGTGCCACTGACAGGAAGCATGGAGGACAGAGAATTACGGTCATGACAGGCATCAACACCAACACCAGATAACACGTTTCTGTTGGTAACTGCATGGCTCGCATATGATTCAGCAACTTCAAGTGACATAACAAAACATAAGGGAAGGAAGCAGAATTGTTAATTTTGCAAGAAGTTCATCTTAACAGATAAATTTTCTAAGCAAGCAGTGTCTGCTTGGAGAGGAAAATGGCAAAAACAAGTTTCCAGGAAGTTTAGTCAGGGGGTTAAACAAAGCTACTGCACAAGTAATACACCTGTACTACAAGTTCTTTCTACTGTAAATATGTCCATTGCCATTACACTCTAGAAATTTACCAACCTCCAAAACACGAGCAAATCTTTTTAACAATAGAGGTTTCCAATTTTTGAGTGATACTGGGTAATGCATAGGAAGTCACTGATCTGTTTAGGGATTCAAGGCTTCTGGATTGTACCAGGCCTGCTGATAAAGCACATTCCCTGTACTGCTGTTTGGACTTCCTCAAAATCCATTCTTCATGCCCTTCTATTCCTGATAAGATTATAAATGATTAAATATTTTTAACTGTGGCTTAAAACTGTTGCTTAATTATTTAACTTTCAGCTGCTTTAACGTCTGGGAGCAAACAGGCTATGTAGTACCTGCATGGGAGACCACCAAAAAAGGCACAATCCACTAGGAAAATCTCAGATGGCAGAAAAAGTGACTTGGAAGAATTTGCTTAACCTGCTGTCATAGCCTGGATAACAGAAGAGGAAAAGAAAGGGCCAAGAAAGATCTGTTACACCAAGCCCATGCCGGAAAGCTCAAGCTTCTTTTCCAAAATAAGCAAGCTAGTTTTTGCTCTTAGAGGACTATGAGATTCCTCTCATTGTTTTGGGAACTAAGGATTACGTTATGCTTTCCTGTCCCGTGAATACTCAAAAAAGCAGCAATTTAATTAGAATTCTAGCAGTTGATTAAAGCAATACAGAAGTCTGAAAAGGAATGGTTGTACTTTTATACGAGACACCCGCATGCCTCTTATGATAAATACATGCTCTACTTTGGTTCAGTGGCTTGGAGAAAGATAAGAAATCAGAATAGTAAGGGAAAGCAGACAATGAAAAAATTTCCAGCATATTAAACAAGAGGCTGCTTCTGCAAAACAGTCACAGAAACAGGATATACCAAACTCCTATAATATAGTCAATTAATAAATTGTGGCTTTGTGAAACCAGTTAAAACATCTCAGCTTGAACTACGGGTTGAGCGGAATAGCAATTAATGTCTCCGCTGAGATGCAAACTATTTCATTTTTAAATTAAAATAGGCTATTAATAAAACACTAACCTGATTAGTAATGTAGGTCTGAAGTAGGGTGTATTCAAACCCCCGGGAATATGGCAGGAAAAAAAAATTTCCTTCTCAAAGTGTTATTGTGGAAGAATTAAGTGATTAAATTGACTGGAAGTGTGATGATTATTGCAGTGTTCTCCACAATTTTTGAAGATTTGTGTAATACGGGTTAAACCAATCGTAAGCAACGACCCCACCTCAGCTGCTCCTCTGTGCACTACAGAGTGCCAACTCACAAGATGGCCCTGCCACCTCTCCGCGGTTGCCTCAGGAAGCCTTGAGGAGGGATGCAGGCTCCAGGCCTCTGGCACAAACCGCTCATCAGTGTCTGTCAGAACTTTTAGACAATAATTCTCATCCAGGCATTTGCTACAGCTCTTCAGATGCCAAGAAAAATCAGAAGAGACAAGAACTCGCTGTTCCCTAACCTAAGAGAGCAACAACTTACTGTTCCATAAATTCTTAATACTATTCCCAGCTCTTCTTCCAAGTCAACGGTAGCGAAAGGCTTCAGCAAGCACGTGTACACTCCTCCTTTCCACTGATACTTGCTACCCTCAGGACAGCTTCCAAAAAGACATGAGCTCTGGGTTCAGCCACTTTAAATCACATAAAATGGCAATGCCAATTAAGAACCCAATTGTCCTCTTGTTTTTTCCTGCACTCGCGCAGCTCCCTTTGTGCTGGCACAAATGTAAGTGAAGCAATATGAAAAACAGAAACTGGTCTTTGCTTTTCTTTTGTCTGACTAATTGTAACAAAAAGAAACAAACCACCCACCCACCCTAATCTTTGCATTAATTCTGCTCAGTTCCCCCATCTGGTTGATAACAAGCCACACAAATGCGTGTGCTGCAAAGGACTTTGAAACAAATCGCTGTGGCAGGACTAATTCTTTCAGTTGCAATGACAAAATATTACCAGCTTCAAACGTTTACAAAATTCTCATTTCAGAAGTATTTTTTTTAAAAAATGTAAATCACAAAAGATACGCAGCACTATTTTTCATACTCTCCCAGGCAGTACATAAACAGGAGAGAAGTTACATGGGTGATTCTTAAAAGAGATGCACGGGTTCACCATGTGTGAGCAAAAATAAGTCAGCTCTTACATGTTTTTTTTGAAGTTCAACAGGTAAGGATGAAATGCACCCTTGAAAACTTGTAATTAACTGCTGTGAATTTTTTTGTAATACATCTCAGAATTTTCTTTAACTAGTATCTGGTTATTTCAACTGTAAACTGTTAGCTGATTTTTAAAAAAGGGCAGTAATAAAATTGTGGACCAAAGTATATTTTTGGGTTTCTGCTATTGCTGGTAACCTGCAGGCTACATCAGATACTTAATAATATTTACTACAACAATGGGAGAGAAGCTGGAGTAGGAGAAGGAGCAACAGCCTTCAGAAAAGGGAAGACAGACAGCAAGAATGTTCAGGGGCTGCAGAAAAAAACCAAAACAAACCAAATCTGTTCCCAAGGTTAAATTGCTTTCCCATAGTTGCTGTTCTTAATAGCCAGATACCAGAAGATACTGGTCTTCTGATTAGGAAAAGTTTCTAATTTTGTCCTACTGCAAAAATAGTACTGTAATGTAAAGGCGAATCTGAACAGCACATAAAAGTTACTGATACTGTCATTTACGTCATTTTCATATTTGCTGTAGATAAGGCTCTTCCCTCACATCACACTTACAATGCACAGTTGCAAGTAGCAAAACTACTTAAAATGCTGTTCCTGACCCTGTCTTTCATAAATATCTGCGTGAATTCCTTTGAACTCTAACTGAGAAAACCCCCAAGGTACAACTCTCCTTCCTAATCTGCTGTTTCTTATTTATTCTGTTTTCAGTGACTTCTCCAGATGAGCCTTTAGTGGCAACGGTAAAGCTGTATGTCCAGCTACGGGGCTCAGCTAAACCTCATGGAGAAGCACTGAATTCCAAACATAAGAACTCACTGCAAATGACTACACCAGCCACCATTTAAGTGAGGAGCATGAGGAGTCGAAGGAGACTTGTCAAAGGAGTCCCAGAGCAATGGAGGGCAGACACACATAGCTCTTACCAGTAAAGAACCAAAAGAGGAGTGGCTGATAAGACTGCATCCACAGTAACCTTGACAGAGGTAATTGAAAAGTTTTTTTTTTAAAAATACAATCTCAAAATAAGCTTGCTACAAAACACAGTTGTTCCAAGAAGGCTTACTCAACATTTTAAAGCAAATAATCCACTATTTTTACAAGAAAAAAAAAATGTTTATATACATGGATAGAAAACACTTTAAAAAGACAAAGTACAGCTACTCTGATGTAACAATCTTACATTTTCACATGCACAATAAACTCCAAGATCCTTTCAACAATTAATTTGGTGAGAATCACAAACATTTACACAAAGGTTCAAAAATGCACCGACAGATTTTAAGGTACAATAATTTAGTTTTAAAAATCAACGGAAGGCTTCTCTGTTAGACTAAATAAGACTGTATATACAATGTTGACATTTTGAGTAATTCATTCTTAGAGAATAATAACTCGGATATGCTCTGCAAATTATGTCACAGTGCATATTTAAGATAAAAAAATAACATAAAAGGGTTTTTCCAACTGTAGTTGGAAAAATTACAGTCTACAGCTGGTATTTTCCAACATATTTTCAGCAATACAATGACTCCCCAAAATGAAACCTCTCTGTAAATAAATGGTCCTCCAAAGCCTTCTGAATATCGATGCTCAGAGTTATAAAAATCAGTAAAATGAAAATCAGCAATGCATTTCTGACCACTCAGCTTCCTATGACTGAGATCACAACAATGTCATTGTCTAAGGGCCACTTGCAACTTACATCTATTTAAGAAATTATCAATGTTCTTGTTCTTCCTCAGCGCTGGATAATCCAGATCAAGGACCAAAGAATTCAAGCCATCCTGAAAATAAATAAAAATAAGTTAACAGAGTTCTAAAACCATAATTAACAACTTTCTTAAAACTACTACACTAAGACTGAGTATATATTATTCAAGCATGCATTACATTCCTAGTAGGCAAATCAAACAAGCTCTCAAGTATGTTTATAAACCAGTCACTGCTAAGGAGCTAACACACTGACTGGCTCCAAGTTGGTCTATAAACAGTACAGATACATTACCACTGATTAGTGGCACTGGGACTTAAACTGGAGTAGTAGTTTTAATCTTAACCAGTAAGTAATCCTACTCATTAAACACTGATTTAAGATACTCAATCCATTCTTATTTCCATTACACTTTTCCTGCATATTTAAAAACCTTTACATTTGTATTATCCATATTATTGCTTTGGTAACATTCTTTCTACATTTTCATTCTGGATATTCAAAACCAACTGCATATTTTTGTTCTTGGAAGCAAGACATGACCTACACTTAAGATGACAATTCACGACATAATTCAAGCTCACAAGACTAGATTACTTTTTCTAAGTGACTCAACAGAAGACAGGCCAGAATGCTGCATGCCATTCGGCTACCAATTATCAATTCCTCCATAGATAACAATTAAGATGTCTTAAAATGGCAAGGGATGACATCACCAAAATCTAAACTAAAAAGAGTATTTTAAATGTTTAAATGTTACAAGATTTAACCCAATTCCACCTTTCAGCAACCTAGAAAAACTTAAAAAATTACTCTTCAAAACACAGCCCTTTCTAGTTTCATAAGGACAAACAAAATCAAAAACTAGTTTCAGATACTAAGAAGAGCCAGAGGCTCTGTTTCTACTCCACATCTCCAGTGTTCTGCCTGAACTGGTAGTTTTGTTCATTGCTCTAAGAACAAAATCCTGAGATTGTTTCTTCAGGTTTTTGAGCCTTGACAGGGCATCACAGAGATTTAAGTCAGAGACCAGACCATGTTTATTAATAGGCAGCCAACAGAATTCGACACCTTTTCAGTCTTCTTAATAACTGAGGCTATAGCTAAAAACCTGCTGATTTTTTTTTAATTAATGTATCTGAGAAGGGGTCATTTCTGTTGCAAATCTCACTAAAATTATTATACTAATTCTAATAACGTATCTACGTGGATAGAGTTAAAGGCAAAGCCCAAGATTATTAAACACATTTTGAATGCCAGACTGTTCTAAATATGCACATACACAAATAAGGCTACCTCATCTGTAGAGATGGCGCTTTTCACCACAAGAAACATTAGTGATTAAGCATATTTTCAAAACTAAGAGATTCAATTGCTTTTTTTTTTTTTTTTTTTTTTTTTTACACCTCCTAACAACTGAAAGTGTCTTGGGAAATATCAGTAGGAGTCATTAGGCCATCTGGAAAACAGGACTTGCTCAAGAAATGCCCATTCAAAGGCATTCTTGACAGGCTAGAGAAGTAGACAGAGAAGAATATGACAAAGTACAACAAGGGGAAATGCCAAGTCCTGCATCTGGGGAGGAAAAACTGCAGCCACATTTGTGTGATTTCCGACACAGCTGATTTCCTCTCTACTAAAAGCCACAGAATACAAGCTTGCCTTACTATTCATTTTAAATTGATAGGGAAACATCATTAGCATCTCACCAGGATCATCTGTTACAAGGATTACTTTTATTATATTTTACGTAACTACTACAAAACATCAGAGACTCACAGATGCATTAAAACATTGCATAAACCATAAAACTTCAAAAAAGGTATAAACTCAAATGGGTCCATCTGGACAAGCAGGAAATCAAGCAAAGGCAGCAGGAGGCCTGCATGGATGAGTAAGGAGCTCCTCACTGAACTGAGGCATGAAAAGGAAGTGCACAAGAGGTGGAAGAAGGGAGCAAGTCACCCAGGAGGAGGACAACTGCTGTCTGATTGGCAGGGGTAGGGGTTGGGAAAGCCAGGGCTGACCTGGAGGTAAATCTGGTGAAGGATGTGAAGGGTATAAAGAAAGGGTTCTACAAGTAAATAAGCAGCAAAAGGAAGACTAGGGAATGTGGGCCTGTTGCTGAATAGGGCAGGGGAGCTGGTGACAAAGGAGATGCAAAAGGCCAAGGCACTCAATGCCTTCTTTGCCTCAGTCTTTACGGGTAAGGCCAGCCTTCGGGAATGCCAGGCACCTCAGACAAGAGAAAAAATTTGGTGCTAGGAAAACTTACACTTGGTGGAGGAGGACCAGGTTCCAGGACTGGGAACACTTAAACTGGACATAGGGAAGTCCATGGGCCCTGATGGGATGCACCCACAAGTGCTGAGGGAGCTGGCTGATGTCACTGAGAGGCCACTCTCAATCTTTGACATATAATAGAAACAGGGAGAGGTTCCTGAAGACTGAAAAGAGCAAACATCACTCCTGTCTTCAAAAAGGGCACAAAGGAAGATTCAGAGAACTGCAGGTGGGTCAGCCTCACCTTGATCCCTGGGAAGGTGATGGAGAAAATGCTCCTGAAAATCAGTTCCAAACACACAAAGGACAAGAAGGGAACTGGGAGCAGTCAGCATGGATTTAAAACAGCACTGTTGTGCTTGACAAGCTGATAGCCTTCTGTGATGAGGTGACAAGAGTGGTGAACAAGGAGATGCTGGTAAGACTTTTGATACTGTCTTCCATAACATCCTCATATACAAGCTGACAAAGTATGGCATAGACAAATGGAATGGATTAAAAACTGTCTGAAAGACTAAGCCCTTTGTGATCAGTGGCACAAAGTCCAGTTGGAGGCCAGTCACTAGTAGTGCACCCCAGCAGTGAACACTGGGGCCAGTACTGTTTTAACATCTTCATTAGCTTTGTTACACCTGCTGCACCCTGCAGACAATACAAAACTGGGGGGAGCGGCTGACACACCAGAGGATTGTGCTGCTATTCAAAGGGACCTTGACAGGCTGGAGAACTGGACAGAGAGGAATATCACAAAGTTCAACAAGGGGAAATCCCAAGTCCTACATCTGAGGAGGAAAAACTCCAGGCACCAGGTACTGACTGGGGCCTGACAAGCTGCAAAGGACCTGGGGGGCGTGGTAGACAACAAGGTGACCATGACCCAGCAATGCACCCTCACAGGAAAAAAAGGCCAACAACATCCTGGGCTGCATTAGGGAAGGCACTGTCGGCAGGTAAATGGAGGTGATCCTTCCTCTCTCCTCAGCACTGGTGAGGCCACACCTGGACTGCAGTGTCCACACCTGGGCTCCCCAAACCAAGAAAGGCTGGGACCTACTGGAACGAGTCCAGCAACGGGACATGAAGATTAAGGCACTGGAGCATTTCTCATAAGAGAAAAGGCTGAGAGAGCTGGGACTCTTCAGTCTGGAGAAGACTCAGGGGCAGGAGATCTCATCAATGTGTGCCTAATGGGAGGGAATGAAGAAAAGGTAGTGCTCACTGACAGAACAAGAGACAATGGGCACAAGGTAAACTGCATGAAATTCCATCTGAATACAACACTTTTTTCCTGTGAGGGTGGTCAAGCACTGGAACAGATTGCCTAGAGAGGTTGTGGAGTCTGCATCAGTGGAGATATTAAAACCTGACTGGATGTGCGTGGTCCTGGGCAACCTACTCTAGCTGACCTTGCACTGAGCAGGGGGTTGGACTAGATGATCTCAAAGAGGTCCCTGCCAACCTCCACCATTCTGTGATGTAACACCTAAAATATTTGCACTGACACAGAGAAAAGGTGGAATTTTACTCTTGAATCTACGTAACATGAACTGTGTCATGAAGGTCTTATACATCATGTTTTAGAACTTCCTTACAAAACCAAACATAAAACAGTGTTAAGCAAAAAGGGAAGTCAATAAAGGAGACACAGTATCAATTGTTAGTTACTTCAGGAACAATATTTATAGGCATTATTTCAGCCTTGACCATGACTGTTCCTGCAAGACCCATTAAGGATAAAGGAGTGATGCACTAGGACATCATACTCATCTTTCAGAGGAACAGAAGACTTAGTACCTATTCTTAAATTTGATGACATTTTTACAAAAGATATAATAAAACTAAACCAAAGTAACAAAGTTGTTAACTACTTATAGATTAGTCACTGCATGAGCTGCACAGGAACTGCCCAATAACCTGGACAAATCCAATGGAAAGTACTCTTGACTTAGAAGTGACTTCCTGCAAAACAACTTAATAGCATTTGTAATACCAAACTCTTTATTTAGCAAACACTGCCTTCCAAAAAAGGATCTCTCATTCTGTAGGAGACTGTGTCAGCAGAAATACAGGTCTTCACCTTGCAACGTGTAGAAAAGGACCATTCTGAATGCCCTGATGAAGAACAGTGGGCCATCTTTTATGATTTTACCTAGCAGAATGAAGACTCAATTCCAATTTGCTGGTAGTCTACATACAACACCTAACTCCAACATCTAATAGGACCTGAAGCTACACTTTCATTAATATATTTGCAATGTAACTGCATTAATATATGACTGCAGTTTATGGTATAAATTTACAGTATCAGAGTCTTTCTTACTCTTTAGAATCCCTTAATGCAATTAGAGTTTCACAATTGGTCCTGGGCGTATTTTTTCCTGATGAATTACAGTTCTCGTTTCTACTGCAGAATCAAAAAAATAAAAACTAGCTCTCTAGACCTCTGAGCATCTTCTTACTCTATTTCTCTCTTCACAGTCCAATACCTTAGTTATCACTCCTCTTACATTCTTCTTTCCTTGCTGTTGAAACAGTATTTTAATGATCACTAACAACTGGGTAGACACTTTAAGGGAAATATAAAAGCACTATGTGCTAACACAAATCAATGAGCCATATTTTTGTTCTTGATATTTTTGGGGAGGAGAGAGGTGAGGTCACCTGGTATTTTAATGCTTTTAGTGCAAAGATATTTTAGAGGTTGACCAAATAAAACATTTATAGTGTTTTCTACTTACATCCTATGCACAAAGTCAGGGGAAAGAATAGTTATAATCCCCAACAGCAATT